GACTTGTTCTTCCTCTGTTTTAGATTACATTCCTCCTTGTCTGGCCTTTTGTTCTCCTTGTTTGGCACGCGTGCAGTGTCTCTCAGGTTTTTCCCCTCATTTGTAGGTTATTTTTACGCTACGTTGGCTCCGCCGCTGGTGGCGTTTCCGTTGCGGTGAGTATGTTTCCTGTGATTTCTGTCGTGTTTTGTTTTTCCTTGTATTCCATTGTTTCCAGTTTTATTTCCTTCCTTTTTGTTGTATAGTTTCAACGTAGACGATACGTTCTCCGTTGGTTCCTCCAACGGGAGTGAAATTCTCAGCAGAGCTTCTTCAAAGTCTGCTTCGTTTTCCTTGTTCATCGTGGTGTTTTCCCTCGGGTTCTGTTTGTTCGTTGTTTCCTCCTTTTCAGGAGCCGAATTATTTGTTGTGGCCGCGTTAGATTTTGTCGGCGTCGAGGTGCCCTTGTTTATCGACAGACCGCCATCCATAATTCTTGTTAGTTCATCAGAGACAACAATTTCCATTCCCTCATAGCAGTTGAGGTTTGTCGATAGGGTGTATTCATCCCCGGCATCGTCAAAAGAGCTGTTATTCTCCCTTTGTGAGGGTGTCTCTTCGATAAGCGACGAATTGTTCGAATTAGCTGTTGTTCCCACCTTGTCGGTTCCTTCTTTCGGCTCAATTGTAAAATCTTCTTCGGATACTTCTACCTCTACCGGTAGTCGCATTTGTCTTACGTTTTTTGCCGGTGTCACTGTAAGTATCATGAACTTGTGCACACCTGTTTGATCGAGTGCCAGTCTATTTCTTCTTCTTTTCAATAATCCGACAGATTTTCCCTCCATCTCCAGCGTAATTATAAGGCCGGATCTAGTGGGCTTTTCGCGTACCACTTTCCATCGGGAAATGTCTATATCACTGTTAAACTTTTGTAATTCACGTAGAATGTTCGCACCCGTAAAACGAGAGTGTGTGCCCCTGCCTTCCACCAGGAAGCGGTTATCTAAGGCTGCTCTGTCCTCAATTATCAGCTCGCAGCCGCTCTCTAATTTGACAAATCTGATGGCCACTCTGAGCCATTTCACAGTCGCTTCCGTGTCGCAGGTCAACAATATTCCTCCGTTTTTACGATAGAATGTCGGGAATCCTGGCTGCACGTATTTCAGTGACTTCTTCTTCCTGGCTTCTGTATATTTCACTACACAGCGATTTAATGCATCTCCGAACTCTTCCGTTTCCGCGAATGTTAACGTTCTATTCGGGAATTCCCTCGGTACGATTGCCACTTGATGGGTGGGTGTAAACGCTTCTCTCGTAATCAGTCGGTTCATCTTTATGCCTGGTCAGAGATCACAGTTTTAAAACAGTTTTAGCACTGCACGCTGGAGATGGAGGTCGATCACTCACGAATCTAGGTTAGGTTAGGTTAGGTTATATAGTTTTTATAGTGTCGTGAGGCGGACGAGACCCACGTGGGTCTCCTCAACAGCGGAACCCGGCCGAAAGCGCCTCCTGATATTGGCGCTCCGTATCTCCTGGGTTACGTACCCCGCCGGTCTCGCGAGACCGAGACCGAGTGGAATAGCCGCAATTTCACTACTCTGGTAATGACTCCGGCGTTCATCGTCTTGCGGGGCTGCAAACGCACGCGGGCTCGCCATCATGACCGCGACAGATTACTTGCCGAAGCGCCCGCGCCCGAGCGGCCTTGCTACCTATGGGGAAGAGCTAAGTGGCCTTTCGGGCCTCGGGTTGTACGTTGGGCGAACAACCCGGGCGCGGACTTCCCCCCTCCTGCGGGTGGCACGCGATCTTCAGTCGACTCGTTTTTTTCCAAATAGTTTTCGCGGCGATTCAAATTCTCTACTGACATGTTAAAACGACCTGAGATCAGAGCGGTCTCGCTCGTATGATTTCGGATTGTCGGACACCGCGTCGTTTGGGTGGAGAGGGACAGGCATACGACGCGGTTCGACTTTTTATTTACCCTCCGCGAGACTCGACCCTTCGCGAGATAGTGGAAGATAGCTAGTTCTATCAAGGAGAGAAGTTTTTACGTTCTCTCTAGGGATATCGAGACTCTAGTCTAGGACAGATGGTGAAGTATTTTTAAAAATAGAAAAGAACGACCGAGGAAGAGAGACACGTGTAGGTCGCGATCCCTTGTGAAGATAAGAAAGGCCCCTGACCGGTCGACGGCCGCGACTTCTTCGAGTAGCCCGCCTAACGCTAAGGCTCCAAGAATCCATTGCGGTTTCTACATCTCGGACGATTCGCGAGACGACCCTCACTTCGACGAGTCCGTTCTAGCACGTAGGGTAGAACGTCCAAGTCTCCATCGAGGGGATTTTTGTAGTCTCGTTCCTGCGTCGTCGACGCCGCCGGCGCACCCAGAGGCCCTGAAAAAGGGTGGGCAAAGGAGAAAACTGAGAGCGGAAAGGATCGGCTAATTCAATCGTGCCCCCGAGTCGACCTCCTGCACTGCCACCAGTTCCCGTCCTTTGAGAGTCACGGGGTTGGATAGCTAAGATTAGAACGCGGTTACGACACAGAACAGTTTATTAGAGCGAGTTCGCTCGTTGTCAAATTACAATGTGCAGACGGACCGTTAACACTTTACAAGCTTAGTCAAATAAGTCGTGATCGTACGTGAGCTATGGTGGTCAAATCGTGCGTCGCAGAAACCGTGTTCTGCACGTGGTCGTTACACGAGTTTGAACCGTATTACGAATCCGCGTGATCCTTTCACTACGTCGTGATCTCCGTGATCAATCGATCAAACGATAATACTTATCGTACGCGGGCTGTTCGACGATTCTATTAATCGTGAACTTCTAGTCCTAATTAGGAAAGCGCGAGCGAAACTCCGACACGTCTATACTAATCAACGATTTGTAACGGACTCAT